TCGCTCACAGGGCACTGGATAAGTAAGTCCTGGGTGAAAGGTCAGAAGGGAGTCACATGTTGTGCTGAGCACACAGCAGGGAGTCGGGGTGGACAAGGCCAGAGAATGTAGGAATGTGGTGGGAGAATGTGTTGCTTGGTCCTTGCCTTCATTGCCCCTTTTGAGACCCCACTGCTACACTGCATCTTAAGCATCCCACCAATGATTAAGTACCAAAAGAAGATGACTGCCACTCTCTGCCCAAGCCATCACACCTCTCTGATGTGCTTTTTTCCCTTTCACTCACTTGGCTAAGAAACAACCTCAGGAATGACCTTGAATGTCACTGGTTGAAAGTTAATGAACCCAGAACCAAACCCTGCCTTCTCCCTTCCCCTGCCAACCAGGAATATCCACTATAAATATTAACTTTGAGCACCGTATAGATTTTTTTTGTATCTGATGGGATTTGGAGCCTTGTTATAGTTGCTACTGTAGTTGCAATCGGCTCGTCAGACTCGCAGAGTTCCAATGAGGGTCAACCCTGACTGCGTGTGTTAACGCATTCCAGGTTTACAAATAAGGAGAGTGAGGGTCTGAGAGTAGACGGTCTGTCTCACTCAACATCTCCTTAGTTAACTGTGGATACACTCCTTATCCTCCTGAGGCCCTTTCTACAAAAGAACCACCAGATAAATTCTAATTGGTTCAAAGCCATGAAAACTGATTTTGACCAACACACTAAGAAATGAAGGCTATGTGAATTAAACATTATTATTGTGCTGTTACCTATACATCCCTAAATACAGCTGCACTTAGCTTTCTGTTAAGCTTTTTAAAGCCATGTTTGAAAGAATTCTATGATGGGGATGTATACTGTGCATATGTTTCTCTTATTGGTTAATGAATGAAGCACTGTTTGGCTATTGGTCAGGCAGGAAGGATAGGTAGGGCTATCAGACTAGGAGAATTTTGGGAAGTGTAGGCAGAAAGGAGTCGTCATGTGAGCCTCGGAAGACAGGACCCGAGTCAGGCATTCTCCAGTAACAGAAGACCATGTAGAAATACATAGGTTAGTAGATATGGGCTAATAATTAAGACAGACCTACCCAATAAGAAGCCCAAGTCACTGGCCAACAGATTCATAATTAATATGGTGTCTGTGTGTTTATTTGCAGCTTTCTAGTTGGCAGGACCCTGCAGAAACAAAGAACCTCCCATTAGAATTATCATGTGGTTGATATCCACTGATATTTTGGTGAAGAGTGATTATTTCTAATTTCTTTCTTTCTTAGCATATAATTTGTCTCTTCTAATGAATCTCTGGTAATATTTAACAGTAGGTTCTCACAAGTATCAAAAGTAGCAGAAACTATGCTCTTCCTTCTTCATTTTAGCTGTTTTTATTTCTAACAAAAATTGATACATTTTTTTCATAGACAAACTTGAAAGTCACCTCAAAAGCCAGGTTTTTCATTGTGGAACTCAGGTTACACGTTAGCAAGAGAGATGGACTGCAGCAGTCTGTGTAGCACTATTCTATGGCAGGGGCATCAATGTAAATGTTTTTGTGTGAACACAAACTGTATTAGTTTAACATAGTAACAAAGAACATGTATGTAGACTATGTATATACATATATCCATCTCTGTCTATGAGAGGGGGTAAAAAGAGTGCCAGTCAGCAAGCAAACAGCCAAATATGTGTTTCCAATGTAATTCTCAATACAACACAATCCAAATAAAAACACTCAAGACTTCTAGAAAACGTGGCTAATTCTAGAACCAGTCATGGAAGACACAAGATGAGCCTGGAGCATCCTGTAAGATTATAAAGGAATGAATGCTTTTTTTTTAGTGAATGCTTTTTTAAGAGAGAAAAATGGCATCCTATAACAATAGGGTATGTCAAAAGGACATTGGAGGGTGTGTCCTGAAAGTGTCAAATGCTAAATTCAGAATAATTTTAGTAATCAAACAGTCTATAATTATAAAGATATATATGTGTATATATATATATATATCAGCATCCTGCATAGAAGAATTTCAAATGATTTGCATATCCAACTCTGAGGAGGAAAAAGGTAGTGCTAGCTCTCCACACTACTCTACAGTAGCTGCAGGTAACAATTTCCTCTCAAAAATATTGGACTATGGTTAATTTCACAATGAAGAAAGCTAGTAAACAGGATCCCAGGCAAGCATTTGAGCTCACATTAAGAGTCATATTTATAGAACACAACCTTGATGTGATACAAAAGCATCACTTTACCACTGTGTTTGTCCTTCATTAAACTGCATCTTTCATGAGAGAAATATCCCATAGCTCCCATCAGGGAAAAAAATCTAAAAGGACCACATGAATTCTCCTCAAAAGTTTCAAGTAGATCAATCAAAAGCAAGGACTATCTGAGACACTCTCCCAACTAAAAGAAATGAAAGGAAACACAATCACTAAATATTATGTGGATTTGCTGATGGAAATCCTGGGACAGAAAAAAAAGATGATTTAGAAATTAAAGTAATAACTATATTGACTATACTATACTAACATTTTAATAATGGAAAAATTGGATGATAGTTAAAGTTGACTTCATATACTTTGTAAAATTTTCTACAATCTAAAGTGTCTAAGTTCAAGCCATATTTATTGTCACCATCGGTCTCATCATCAAATTATAAATAGAGACATTTTAATGCCACCTTTATCTTTCATTTGCGCATATATGCCTTTATCTTTTCAGGTGACTTCATACTGTATATAGTTTTCATTTAACAGTGAATTAATATACTTCCATGTATTCCACATGATATGTATTTATAACAGTCATTCATTTTAGCAAGCTATTATACTTAATTTTTAGTCAATTACATACTGTAATACTTTCCACCAAAATTATAATGAATCTATTAGGCAAGGAAATGAAGTAAGTGCAAAGAGAAATCTAGGACAGAATAACTATGTATTGTATATTATGAGAAGTGGGGTGGATGTCTACTGTTGGTACCAGGGGGAACATGATGCACTGAGGAAGAAAATACCCAGATATCAGTTCCAACTTCAGTAACAACTCTGGGTGTCGCCTGGAAAACCACTGATCTCCTGACTGTCTAAGGTCCTTGTTCACAAGATAGAATAGGTAACTTATTCAACAGAGTACATTCCCAAATCTTATTGTTGTGTTTTTTTCAAGACAGTTTCTTAGAAAATTGCATGCAAAGAATATGACTAAGTATCTTTAATATAATAAAGAGAGAGAAGAAAATCATTAAAGATTCATTTATTTTATGTGTATATGAGTGTTTTTCCTGCCACATGCATGCCTATTGCTGTGGAGGTCAGAAGAGGACACTGGTTCCCTGGACCTGGAGTTACTGATGGTTGTGAGCCACCAGGTGAGCTCTAAGAATCAAACCCATGTCCTTTGCCATAATATGTGCTCTTAATTGATGAGCCTTCTCTCCAACCCTGATACAAATACCTTTTGTTTTTGCTGAATACCCAAAAGTTTCAGATCATGTAACACTAATGGTACACATTATAATTGGTATTAAAATCTGATGGTTGGAAACAAAAAAAAAGTCTTCCTTTTTAGGGAGAGTGCAAAGGCACTGAATTCAGCTCCACACAAAGTGTGGCAGTCTAACAGTAGAATGACCTTCCAGGAAAATTGCGAAGGCCTTAGATGTGAAGAAGCTTGTAGCTTGGGCTGGCTGGTGAAACACCAAGATGATTACAGAAACTATTTCCCTAACAAATCATCAGGATCACGTTCAGTTTTGTAAGTCTGGAATTTTTCTACGATCTTATTTACACAGTCCTATTTATCCTTTCTCCTAGACCAGGCCGTTTTATTTGCTGCCTTAGCTGAGGGATCACTTCTAATAAAGAAAACTGAATATATAAAATATCTCTTTGGAAAATGAGCACATCAGCTTGTTTGTGTGCTGAGATGTGTGCCCCTCTAAGCGGCTAATGGAAAATGGGTCTCTGGTTGTTACTAAGAGAGTGAGCAAAAGGGATCCATTGAGATACTCTCTTTACTAAGGAAGTCATTCCAAACTGGGAAAATCAGCTCACAATCAAGCTGCACAACTTGTTCTCAGGATTTTTCCATCTTGCTTGTTTGTTTTGTTTTGTTTTTCCCCCACAAGAGGAACTTATGAATACCCCAGCAGGTTTAAAATTCCAAATTTGAAATTGATCTGGTCTGCTGGTGTGAGTTCCTGGTCTTCACACTTAGGAACACTGAGGACAGCATCGGGCAAGCTTCCTTTCTCTATGATGGAGACTTAGTGTTTTCTGCAAGATCTGCAGTCTGTTGCCCCTGCCCACCTAGCTCTCTTTCTTCAGGCGAAACTGCCCCCTGAGTCTCTGAAAGTTCTGCTTCTGAAATTAGGCTGATAGAAGAAAATTATCCTAAACTAAAAGTTCTGAAGTGGCTGTAATGAGGCAAAGAGGACTTGGGGAAAAGATCAGCACTAAGAACTTTAGGTCCTGAACCCTCACACTTACAGAACTTTGGTGTAATACTTAGGGAGAAGCCCCCCACACACACACACTTCCATTGGTAAATGCCTCTTCCCCAACCTACATAGCGATGATGAAGATGTCTAGAGCCCAGAGCACTGGCATGGATGGGGTCTCTGGCAGGCCTCTGCAAGGCAGCCTGGAAAGTGTTGCGAGGAAAGCCCTTGCATGTTTTGTGGAATGTTAAAAATGCAGCATCATCCTCTCTGTTCCCTTTTCTTTGAACAAAAGACAGAATTCGAGGGCACAGGGCTCTAAGAGGAGCTTGCAATCTGCCCTCTGGAGGAGGCGTGGAACTCCACCTCCCCCCACCCCCATGATTCTGATGGCCCCTGCTTCCACGGGCCAGCAGTGCCTTCACCCTTTACCACTTCCATTCACTCCAGCCGAGAAGAGAAGGAAAACAAAACTCTAAAAATAACTGTCAGCATCTTAAAAACAGAAAAGCTTCCCTGCTGCCACCACCACCCCCCTCTTCTACTCCCGCCCTCCCTCCGCGCCACGGGGCACATGTCTGCTTCTTACAACACCGCGAGGCACATGGTCCCAGTTAGACACCGAACCCCATCGGGACAGAAAGGAAATCCACATCTGTGGGACGCTCCGCGCAGAACCGCCACCTCCAACGAGGGAGGCCGGGGGGACTGCAGCAGCGACATGAAGAAGGGCTAGAACGAGGGGACGCGGCTCATGCGGTGAGAGGCAGCGCGAGCGCGCGCCGGCCAGGGCGCGGGGAGGCCGGGGACCCCGGGTGGGCCCTGCCAGCCCCCGCAGCTCCCGCCGTCCGGTCCCCCACGCGCGCTCCCGAGACTTGAGACTTGCCCGGCCTTGCTGCAACTTGCTGCAGTGTTTGAAAGAGTAGTAAGAGCGCATGGAGGTGGGGCCGGGGGAAGACCGGGCGGAGCGGTTGCGGGGTGTGCGCGGGGAGGGGGCGGGGAGGAGGCGGTGGCGGGCGGGGGAGGGGGCTGATCCCTGGGGGAAATGGGATGGGGGAGAGAGGAGGTAGCCCCAGCGCTTACACATGTCACATGTGCTTTTTAAGACGGCCGGGAGCGCCTGCGAGCTGGATCGGGAGGAGGATGCTGCGGCAGGTGCTTCGCAGAGGGCTCCAGTCATTCTGCCACAGGCTGGGCTTGTGCGTGAGCCGGCACCCGGTCTTTTTCCTCACCGTGCCGGCAGTCCTGACCATCACCTTCGGCCTCAGCGCGCTCAACCGCTTCCAGATCGAGGGCGACCTGGAGCGCCTGGTTGCTCCCAGCCACAGCCTGGCCAAGATCGAGCGCAGCCTAGCCAGCAGCCTTTTCCCCCTGGACCAGTCCAAAAGCCAGCTCTATTCGGACTTACACACCCCTGGGAGGTATGGCAGGGTGATCCTCCTCTCCTCACCCGGGGACAATATTTTGCTCCAGGCTGAGGGGATCCTGCAGACCCACCGAGCCGTGCTGGAAATGAAGGTGAACCACAAGGGCTATAATTATACTTTTTCCCATCTGTGTGTATTGAGAAATCAGGATAAGAAATGCGTGCTGGATGATATTATTTCAGTGCTAGAGGATCTCAGGCAGGCTGCCGTCTCCAATAAGACAACAGCCAGGGTGCAAGTAAGGTATCCCAACACTAAATTAAAGGTATGCTCCTCCTGCATGCTTCTGCCACTTAAAGAGGCGGCACTTCATTTCTTGCCCTAAACAAGCAAAGAAAATGCAGAGGTCTCATCCTTAACGTTCAGAAGCGATGGCTTCTTTCATTTCTGGAGGGGTGGAGGGGAAATGATGGGCGACTGAGCAAAGAAAATGTGCGATGAACCGTACAACTAGATAAGAAATTCAAAGCCAAATCAAACACTAAAAAAAGAAAAAAAGAAAAAGAAAAGACAAAGAAAAAAGTTTTTTGAGACCCTGCAGTTACATCTTTGTTCAGGGTTAATAAATCCGTGGATGGAAGGGGGAGGGAGTGTCCTGAACAATTGGGGGATTTCTTTTCATAATGGGGCTCAATGTATTTCTTATTACTGATTACACATTCACCTGGCATCATATTCACCTTTTCGCATCTTCAGCCTGGCTTGATTTTTTTTACAGGGGTGGTCATGGAATTTTGCTGCCCTGTGGTTATGTCTGTGGGTTATGAATGTGGCAGGGATTCCAGGAATTGTGTGTGTCTCTGTGTATGTGTATGTGTGTGTGTGTGCGTGCGTGTGCGTCTGCATATCAAAAGAAGTAGGGGTTTTCTATGAATCAGAGCAGGGATGTGTGCTTAACTGATGCATCAATTTGCTTAGTATGTCATTCCTATCCCATCAAGTATCCCAGACCCAAAGAAGATTCATTATAGCTGCCACTTAACAAAAGTAAAGTAGAAAGTTCACAATCAGCAGAAAGTACAAGGCATTTCAACATTAAATTACCATACTGTTTGGACTGTCAAGTCAAATTTTGACACTCAATGAGATTCCTAAATTCATTCTACACTGTTCGGACTGAGATGCTGCAGCCAATGAGGCATGCAGTCTGCAGGTAACTGAAGAGTCGGGGACAAATGTGACTTCCAAAAGACTCACTGCACCATTGGTGTGCTTGACCCTATTGGTGCTCAGGAGCTATGTCTCCAAGAACTCCCAAGACAGGTGTTTCCCAAGAAGAAAATGATGTATGTGGGGCTGTATGTGTGTATCTATGGAAGTAATGGAACCGGAAAGACCACTACAGAATATCACAATGCCCATTTATTTATTTGATAGAGTCACCAGTATAAAAACTGCATATAACTTCCTCAGGACTTTTAAGAGAAAATGCTTGTCTCTGAGTTAAGCAACAATTCAGTACAGGTAGGAACACCTTGCCTGGCCTCCTTTGAGCATGGTACTTTGTTTGCAGGGATCCAGAGGCTTACCTTGTCTCAGCTTTACCAAGCTGAGCAGCCCCTGAGGTCTAAGGACAGCAGAAAGATGAGTCATTAGCTTACACTAGGTGAAGGGATTGCCTGCTTTGTGCTAACGATGGTGCGTGATGGAGACTGGTTGGGCAGCATGCTTTTCATTTCACCACTCCTTGCCATCACCATCACTGCTTGCCAAGGAAAGGATGTGGTGGAGAGGTAGACTTTCTCACCTATTGTCCTAACCCAGTTCCTTCTGGTGCCAATATGTAAAGAAAGATTTGAGCTGCATCATAGTCACACTTCAGTTTGTTTTCCCTATCGAGTCAAGTTTGCAGGTCATTAATATGTCTAATTAGTTGCATCTCAATTGCTTTATTCAACAATACTCTCCAAGTGGAAAAGTTTCATCCAGTTAGCAGCTGTGGACATTTTGTTTGTGTGGCAATATCACCTTGATATTTGCAATACCAATCTCGGTGGTATTCTTTTTATTCATCTAATACTTTTTAGTTGAGCCCGCGTGACTTGCTGTGCAGTCTTTTAGACACATGAGATGTAACGATGGCAAGACAAATGGTCTTACTTCCAGTGAGTTTCAAGGAAGTGGATGTCAGCATTTTTGTTCACCAAGACAAAAGTAACTTGCAAGCATAGACTCTGCAATTGTGTGCACTCCTGCGCCAACACCTACCTCTACACTTTATGATTGACTGCTGACTGACTGAATGGATGGTTGATGGACATATAGGCAGGACTCTATGAGTAGTCATAAAGAAAAAGAGTAACTCATTACAAGTTTATTGAGTAATGGGATTAGTCTATTACTCATAGAAGGGACAGAACTGTCACATATGGACTGGTGTTCTCATTTAGCTGTATCCTCAACTGTCCTGGTTTGAGTCAGTGTTTATGGCTTCAATGGGCCATGGGGGGTATGTCTTTAAGCTATCTTGGAGTAAATGAGACTTTTGGGGTATTCTAAGAACAACAAACCCTCTCAAGGCTAGAAATAATCTCACAGGTACTCACACAGTATAAACCCCTGTTCTGTAAGGAGCACAGAAGCCTAGAATTTTGCCACAAGAGCCTCCATGGGAGCACAGGAGCAGAACTCTCTGGCAGAGAGCAAAGTGAGATGACCTTCTTCTTGATTCTGTATTGTTTTCAAATATTTTAGTTCCCTCATGGCAATGTGTCTCAAGGTGTATCTCCATGATGCTGGTACTCAAAAGCCCAATCACTATTGTCTTTAAAGACGAGAGAAGAAATTTCCCACGTAAACATCTCCTTATTTCATTCTGTTTTGCTGCCTTTCATCAATATTCCTACTCCTGTCCAACATTAAAAACTTCTGTGCTGGGAAAATCCAACAGTAGGAAGGAATCACAAGTTTAGGGAAATGTCAAGATAAACAGTAGCAGCTGGACAGTGTGAATAGGAACTGTCAATCACTTGGCTTCAAAGGGGAAATCGGTGAGGGCTCAAGATGGAATAGAACTAGGTAAACAGTGACTGACAGAGAGAAGTCGTCAAAACCTGAGTTGTGATGATCAAAGTTTTAAAATGGCCGGCTTGGCCTGAACTCAGAAAGGTTTAGATCTGGTGGACATAAGAATCCTAAGAACGAGATTCAGACAAATGGGGTCACATAAATTGGCCAAAATGGAAAAATCCACCTGGGAGATACCCAACATGAAAAAAGCAGCACTTGGCCTAGAATACTACAGGGGTAATCAAATTGATCCAGGCTTTGAAAACACATAAAAGTCTGTAAAATCAGAAACACACTATGTAATATGAATTCTTTAATCTTTATTTTATTCTGATCTCTATGGTGTAGGCTCAGATGAGCACAAGGGTCATGTATTATTTCCTTTGAGCAATCCTTCTCTCCTCCCCAACCTTAACTACATCTATAGACTACATTTACAGTGAATGCTTATTGACTAGTTTAGTAATCAATTCATTCATTCGATGTCACAAAATTATTATCAACCTTTGTGACATGCTTCCATTTTCAAATATTACTTTTTTTTACAAATGTCTCTAAAGTGTTTTAACCTCATAAGTGAAAGACTCTTACCTTCAATACATGCACATATAGAGCAGTCAAATATAGACATTAGGTAAAGCAATACAATGTGGCTAGACTGAATTTTTAAGTAAAATTCTTGAATACTGTTTAACAATTCTGTTTTTTAAAGATCAAATGGATACCAAGGATATGTATTTATGAGCTGTTCTAGAGTGTAATAAATGTTTTCATCATCATTTACACAACTTGGGAGGTTACAGATAATGTTTCCCTGTTTCTTAGACAAGTCATCATAATCTCACTTTTCTACAGTGGAAGTGGCAATTCTCATGCCGGCCCAGTTACTTACAGTAAAAGTAGAGGTAGTCCAGATAAAGCAGATACAGGGGGTTCTAAATCTCAGGAACTTCCCAGCTACTCAAAAAGAGTAAGTTCACATTGGCTTTCTCTACAGCCTGTCCCTCTCATTAAATTACACTAACTTCCACCCATATGGACACATTTTAAAATCCATTTATACATCAATATGCCACACTTATAAATAGGAGCAAAGATACACATTCCTGATTGTCAATAAAAGACAGTGCTTGTTAAGCCCATTATCCATTTTTTGGAAGGTCTTCAATGGAAGGGGGACTTGAGCCAACTTGAAAAGCTATGGTCAGCATCTTTGCTTCTACCCTTAATTCATTCTAAAACAGAATCATGCTAAAATAGATCACTTTCAGATACTGTTATTTAAGCTACCTTTCTAATTCTGCCTCCCAATAAGGGAGAAAAGTTCCAGCCATATTAAATATTCTCTTTGTGTCCTAAAGGTTTCCTGATGTTATCTTCACAGTGTACCGTTAAATTTATATAAATTGTACTCCCATTTTATAGGGAAAAACCAAGGTGCTTCACTGATTTCCTTGTGATCTCCAAGCTAATGCACATATTAGACTTAAGCCCAAGCCTGTGTAGCTCCAAAGCCTAATTACAACACACTATGGGTCTTATTGTTCTCTGCACTGTTCTCTTTAACAATGAACAACAGACTTTCTGACAAAGGAAAGAGGAAGGGGGAAGGAAGGAAGGAAGGAAGGAAGGAAGGAAGGAAGGAAGGAAGGAAGGAAGGAAGGAAGGAAGGAAGGAGCGCAGCCATACTTCCCCAGTTATTTTCAGGTCACTCCCCTTGCTTGCTGGCAGTGATCGGCTTATAGAAAGATGGCAGGGTGACACTCCAGTCAGGGCAAACTCCAGCAATGTACCTAACATGGCAGCTGCTACAAATTTAGCAAATTACTCATTGGCACATGATTTCACCTTTTGTATCATCTCCCCTCAGCTAAGAACAAAGAGGTATTTGGCTCTAGGATCTGCTAAATGTGAGAATTCGGAAAGTTACCCAAGGTTTTGAGCTAGGGGCTCATGTGTCAAGAATGCTTTTCTGGCTTGCTCTAGCACCAAGGAGGTGGGGGGTGTTGATGAGATAACACGAGCTAATTCAATGCACTTTAAAGAGAAATATTCAGGAGACCTTGATTCTAGTGTTAATTCTTTGAACACATGTTAGTGACTTATTGATCTCATCTATTCTGGTGTCAGATTTTGTGTGTGTGTGTGTGTATGGGAAATTGACAGAGCTAAGCCAAGAAATCACAGGAATTCTTGTCACCTAGCAAAGTTCTCTTATTTGTGTTAGCCAACATTCCTACACATATTATGTCTTAT